TATGAAGCGCCGCATATTGGGCATGGTTATGAAGCGCCGCATATTGGGCATGGTTATGAAGCGCCGCATATTGGGCATGGTTATGAAGCGCCGCATATTGGGCATGGTTATGAAGCGCCGCATATTGGGCATGGTTATGAAGCGCCGCATATTGGGCATGGTTATGAAGCGCCGCATATTGGGCATGGTTATGAAGCGTTGCATATTGGGCATGGTTATGAAGCGTTGCATATTGGGCATGGTTATGAAGCGTTGCATATTGGGCATGGTTATGAAGCGTTGCATATTGGGCATGGTTATGAAGCGCTGCATATTGGGCATGGTTATGAAGCGCTGCATATTGGGCATGGTTATGAAGCGCTGCATATTGGGCATGGTTATGAAGCGTTGCATATTGGGCATGGTTATGAAGCGCTGCATATTGGGCATGGTTATGAAGCGCTGCATATTGGGCATGGTTATGAAGCGCTGCATATTGGGCATGGTTTAGAGGTGCGTTCTTAGAGGCTGAGCCTACTCACAATAAAATTGAACATGTTTGACACTGTCCTTGTACCCACAAAATAATCTGAACTTACGGATGGACAAAGCAAACATTTCTGCAGTCAGGGTTCCATGGCATTTATACTTCACACTTTAAAAGGAATTTAATGGTTTTTCAAAGCAATTGCAATGCTGTGAATGATAACTATCACTATTATTTGTACACTCAACCAAATTGGCAACCCTTCAAATGGCTGGTCTCGTGCAGCCCACCCTACCTGCACCACCATTGGCAGCTAGGGATGTTGCTAGATATTAAACAGCACACAGTTAACCCTTTGATCGCCCCAGATGTTAACCCCTTCTTCCTGCCCAGTGTCATTAGTACAGTGTCAGTGCTTTTTATTAGCACTAATCACTGTATTAGTGTCATTGGGATGTTAGTGGCAGTTAGTCAGTTCCCACCCAGTGTCAGAATGCCCGTCACAGTCCCGCTATAAGTCACCATTACTAGTATAACAAAAATTAAAATTCCAGTATATATACCACCATTTTTAGGCGCTATAACTTTCACGTAAACCAATTAATTTAAATGTATTGGGATTTTTGTTTTAGCAAAGATATGTAGCAGAATACATTTTTTCCTAAATTTTATAAGAAATTAGATTTTTTACATTTTTTTCTTGGATGTTTTATAGCAAACAGTCAAAAATATTGTTTTTTTTTCTCAAAATTGTCAGTCTTTTTTTGTTTATAGCTCAAAAAATAAAAAATGCACAGGTGATCAAATACCATCGAACGAAAGCTCTATTTGTGGGAAAAAAAGGACATAAATTTCATTTTTGTACAGCGTTGCATGACCACGCAATTGTCAGTTAAAGTAACGCAGCGCCGTATCGCAGAAAATGGCCTGGTCAAAAAGGGGGGTAAATCCTCTGGAGAGCAAGTGGTTAATAGTGAAGTCATCACTCCTCCAGTTTCCAGACACAGATACAGTATTCACGTACGATAATGCACCCGAAAAGTCTGCTCCAACTTGCCCACACTGAAACATCTCTGCCACCATCAATAGACATACCTTTCCCTGGGGCAGTATTGTGTCCTGGACCTGCGATGTCTACACCACTATAATGACTCCAGCCTCTCCTCCATCTCCACCATGGTTCTATTGTCATCTGAAGTCCTCCATGCCTGTAGTCATTAAAGTGCCACCTCCAGCTCGATCGCCTCATTTTCAGTCCTCTGTCCATAGCTTTACTTCTGCACTCAAAGCCTTACTCTGTGCCACCTAGTCTGGCCACTTGCAACACACAGTCTGCTAGCCACTAGGAGGTGGAGCGGTATGCGTATTCAAGCAGGACTAAGCCCAATGATTTAACGGTTTCAAACAGTCATGTCATGAATAATAACTGTCACATTTTCTTGTACTCTCAACCGAACTGTCAAACCATCACATGGCTGGTGTCCTAACTGATCACATGTGCAGCATCATGGCAGTTGCAGATTAACAGAGGCCAAGATGGCATCTTCTTTGGCTGTAAACGATTGAAGGGTTTAGTTCCACTTTCAGTATTCAACTCCACCTCCTAATTGTTAGGATACATTACAGTTCAGGACCCCATAGTTGTCTTTTTATTCATTTTTGCCCTAGGGCTAGAGCTGAAACTACCAATCAACATCACTGAAATATAAAAATAGTTGTCAACTAGTTTCATTATCAATTAGTTGGTCAGCCAATTAGCTGGCCTGCATACAGAATGAATTATTCGTTTACATATCAGGAAATACAATATAGCACACATGCAGCTTACTACACTGTTCATACATGTCAGTATACACAGTGCAGCACACATACAGCTCAGTACACCGTTCATACATGCCACTATACACAGTGCAGCACACATACAGCTCAGTACACCGTTCATACATGTCACTATACACGGTGCAGCTCAGTATATCGTTCATACATGTCGCTATACAAGGTGCAGCACACATACAGCTCAGTACATAATTTATACATGTCAGTAAGTGCCTGAGAACTTGTGATTGTATGAGGAGTAATGCCTTATGGGACATGTAGTCCTTGGCAGGAGGAGGAAGCAATTTAAAGTGATTCTAAAGAGTTTTTTTTTCACCTTGCTATAGGGGCACACAATACTATGCTTGGCAGCTTACTATTGAGGCACTCTGAAAGCAAAAAGAGCTAGAAGCACTGGTGGGGGGAAGAGGAGAATCGGGGCTGATCTGTGCAAAGCCATTCCACAGAGCAGGTAAGGTATGGCATGTTTGTTGTTTAAAAAAAAAAAAAAAAAATCTAAAAATGTACAAATCACTTTAAGGGCTCTGTGTAGGGAAGATCAATCATCTGAACTCAGAGAAGCTGGAGGCTGATAGACTAGACGTAGTATAAGGCATTACAATAAAATTTAAAATAAAAGTATACCAATATTGTGCATTATATTAAAAATAATTATATCAATTAAAATTAGTCTGCCCATTTCCTATAGACAGCAGCCTGTATGTCAGCTAGCATCGGCGGTTGCTGTGCGCCTCTGGAGGACGCACCCGTGAGCCCCACGATTGGTATGCACTCCGGACACAGTGGATCACATTACTGCTGTATCCAGGTGATCACATGGTGTTTCTCCTATGTGATTGTTGTGACCTATCACAGTACTCACACTGTAAATAATGAAAGTGAAAGCAAAGATCGGTCATCGCTCCTTTCATTATGAGAGGAAAGAGAAGTGATGCAGCAGCTTGTGAGTGTGCAGCAGCCAGTCAGGCTACATGTACACTCACAAACTGCTGTGCCAGCCACCCCAGTGTCCCTAATTACTGCCCATTGTAGTCAAGAATAAACAATACAGCCAGCCCTGTCACTTGTCCCAGTGTACACATAACATGGCCATACACCATACCACTGTCCTAAGCACCACCATAACATCATCCTGATCATTGCCATACCCCATACAGGGGTGTGGACATTTTTTTTTAAAAACTACTTGTCCAGGGACTAAATTGGTACGCCAATCTACTTGTCCCTCATGACAATCTACTTGTCCTGATGAAAAAAAAATATTTTAACCAAAAAACTGTATTTAAATCATATTTAAATGTGATTTTAGGACTGTTTTAAAAACAAACGGGTTTTATGGCGACTTAAATGTGCAACATTTTTAACATTGTGCTGCTTATCTCCTTCTCCCCTCCCTGCCTGTCTCTAGCACATCTGGGGACTAGCAGGGAGGAGAGAGACTTTGCAGTGTAATGAGCTCCAATTGGCTGCTCCTCAGGAAAGGGGAGTGTCGGGCTTAACCCTTATCCCTTTTGCTGCCAGAGCCGTTTTTGTGTTTTTTTGTACAAGATTAAAAAATCATTTTAGGCCTGAAGATTACATAAAACCTCCAAACATGATATATTTTCTGAAATTGGAGACCCTAGAGAATAAAAGTGGTATTTCCAATTTTTTATTTATTTTATTATTTTTTATTTAAATATAAAAGATAAGGATGCAACAAGTAAATAGATATCCTACATGCCAAACCTTAAATGTGCACGCGCTTGTGAAATGGCAATGAATTTCAGTACCCTAAATTTTCTATAGGTGATGCTTTTAAAGCCCCTTATAGGTCATCAGTTTAGCGTTACGGAGGAGGTCTGGTGCTAGAATTATTTCTCTCATCCAAGCGTGCAAGGCAATATGTGACATGTGTATCGCAATCGACGCTTACATGCGTAGGCGCCCCAGCATGTGCATTTATGTTTTTACATGCGTATATGTGGGGATGGCCTCAATTTATTTTTTTTTGGGGGGGGGGGGGGGATGTTATGTGCTTAGGTGTAACTTTCATTTTTTACAATTAAAAAAAAAAATTATAAACATACATACACACACATATATATATATATATATATATATATATATATATATATATATATATATATATATATATACACATACATACATACACACACACACATATACATACATATATACACACACACACCCTTTTATTTTTTATACACTTAAATTATTTCATCACATACGGGACAAAGTCCCGTATGTGATATTAGGTGACAGGTTCTCTTTATTGAGACATCCAAGGTTTAAGAGACCCTGCATGTCTCTCCTGTACTTCACTGAATGTAAAGGAGTGCTCATTGCACCGCATTACATTTAGTGAATCTCTCAATGGGGAACCGGAAGTGACATTATAACGTCATTTCTGGGTCAGGACAAGAAGGGGAGTGAACATGTCTGCTCTCCTCCCTCCACTCTAGCTGACGGCGGTGGTAATGGGAAAGTGGAGCACGGTAGATAGTGGGCGGGGGGAGGTTCGCGCGAGGGGGCGGACAGGCTGGTACTGTGTGGAAGCAAACGGCACAGCGCCGCTGCCGATTGCTTCCACCTGACAGATGAGCCCTGCTGCTTGCCCGCAGCACGGCTAAAGGTAGAAAAAAAAATACCTGCCCAGCGCCTGGAACTACATGTCCGGGCGTTGGGAGATAGGAATTCAACATCCCTGCCCATACCAGTGCCCTGATCACTGTCATATGCCATACCAGCGTCCTTTTCACTGCCATACACCATACCAGAACCCTGATCACCGCCATAGGCCAGACCAGCGACCTCATCACCGCCATAACAGCATCCTAATCACTCCATACAACATACCAGTATCCTGATCACCACCATGTCCCATACCAGCATCCTGATCACCCCATATGCCATGCCAGCGTCCTGATCACCACCATACCCCATTCCATAGGCGTCCCAGTGTCCCCGATTACTGCCCATTGTAGTCCATAATAAACAATACAGCCAGCCCTGTCACTTGTCCCAGTACACACATAACACGGCCATACACCATACCACTGTCCTAATCACCACCATACCCCATACCACTGCCATAATCTCCACCATACCATCATTCTGATCACCACCATCATCGCCATACACCATACCGGTTTTCTGATTACTGCCATACTCCATACAAGTATTCTGATTACTGCCATACCACAGCCACCCCAGTGTCGCTGATTACTGCCCAATGTAGTCAATAATAAACAATACAGCCAGCCCTGTCACTTGTCTCAGTGCACACATAACATGGCCATATTCCTAGATTGTAAGCTCGAAAGAACAGGGCCCTCGATCCCCTCATGTTTTGCATTGTATTGGTATTGTTCTGTCACATGTTCTGTCCCCCTTTGTAATGTACAGCGCTGAGCGAACCAATGGTGCTTTATAAATACTGTGTAATAATAATAATACACCATACCAACGTCGTAATCACCGCCATACCCTATACCAGCATCCTTTTCACTGCCATACCATCACCCTGTTCACCACCATACACCATACCAGCACCCTTATGACCACCATACCCCATACCAGCACCCTGATCACTGCCATACCCCATTCCATAGCCATCCCAGTGTCCCTGATTACTGCCCAATGTTACCAATAATAAACAATACAGCCAGCCCTGTCACTTGTCCCAGTGTACACATAACATGACCACACACCATACCACTGTCCTATCAACACCATACCATCATCCTAATCACTGCTGTACCCAATATCAACACCCTGATCACTGCCATATGCCATACCAGCATCCTTTTCACTGCCATACCAGCACCCTGATCACCACCATATGCCAAACCAGCGCCCTTATCACCGTCATACACCATACCAGTATTCTGATTACTGTCATACTCCATACCATAGCCACCCCTGTATTCTGATTACTGCCCTTTGTAGTCAATAACAATACAGCCAGCCCTGTCACTTGTGTTATGCAGGGCGTAGATGGGTGGAAAATCGGCCGATTTTCGCACCGTTAATGGGTCAATTGGTTGGCCGTTTTTCTGGATTTTGGCACATTTTTTTAATCAGTAAAGTTGGAAAAAAAATTGGCCGATTTTGCGGCAATGAAAGAAGAAGGAGGAGGAGGAGAATTCCAGTCCGCTATTTTATTTGACATGAAAAAGTATTGCGGTTGCAACAATGTATTTGTATCCGAATAAAAACATCTGTATCTGAAATGGATACAAATAGATACAATATTGCAATTGCTATACTTTTTAAAGTCAAATATAATAGCGCAACTCTCTGCAGGGACAGAAGTAATTAAATGCCGGCTGTAGACAGGACGAAAATCGGCCGATTTTTTTTTTTACTGTTGGTGGTAACGTCGGCCTATTGAATGACCGATTTTTCGTTTTCTTTTAAAACTGCAGTTTTAGACCCATCTATGGCCTGCATTAGTGCACGCATAAAATGGCCATCATCCTGATCACCACCATACCCCATACCAGTGTCCTTTTCACTGCCATACGCCATACCAGTGCCCTGATCAACGCCATGCCCCATACTAGCATCCTGATCACTCCATATGCCATAGCTTCCTGATCACCTCCATACCCCATACCAGCATCCTGATCACCGCCATACCCCATACCAGCATCCTGATCACCGCCATACCCCATACCAGCATCCTGATCACCGCCATACCCCACACCAGCATCCTGATCACCGCCATACCCCACACCAGCATCCTGATCACCGCCATACCCCACACCAGCATCCTGATCACCGCCATACCCCACACCAGCATCCTGATCACCGCCATACCCCACACCAGCATCCTGATCACCGCCATACCCCACACCAGCATCCTGATCACCGCCATATACCCCACACCAGCATCCTGATCACCGCCATACCCCACACCAGCATCCTGATCACCGCCATACCCCACACCAGCATCCTGATCACCGCCATACCCCACACCAGCATCCTGATCACCGCCATACCCCACACCAGCATCCTGATCACCGCCATACCCCACACCAGCACCCTGATCACCGCCATACCCCACACCAGCATCCTGATCACCGCCATACCCCACACCAGCATCCTGATCACCGCCATACCCCACACCAGCATCTTTACATATTGACTAAATTATACACCACACTTTTTTTTATTCCAATTAATCTTAAAGTGTTACTAAACCCACAGCAGTAAAGTCAGTCTGTATATGCAGTAAAGCATGCTTGTTATACTCACTGTGGAACCTAAGGGGTTAATCCTATCTACTGAAAAGACATATCTTGTGAAGTCACTTTGCACATACTCAGTTTGGTGTGTATCGCTAAAGAGGGTTTTTGTTTTCTTGGGAGAGTGCATGTGATCAGCACAGGGCCAATCAGCACTGTCCAAACAGAGGTTAGGGGTTCTGCATCCTTCTAGAGCAGAAAGACAACTCCACCTCCAAGCTTTAACATGTGTTCTGCTGGACACAGATAGAAGTCACGAGATTGCTCTAACTGCAGATGAGAAAAGGTATATAGCAGTTTATTTACTAAAATAATTGCATTTCCATGTTCTGCGTAGTGTAGGAGACCAGATATAGTGAATGCAGGGTCCTGGGTTTAGTTACACCAACAATCGGCCAACTAATTGGTTATGAATATAATTGTAAGTTGGACCCCTATCTGGAGCTCAGACAGGAACCTGCCCAGATGATTTCTAATGCATTCTTTGTTCAATACACTTGCCCCCCCCCCCCCCTCCCGGGGATTCCCCTTTCCCCCTGCAGGACATTCCACCGCTGTAGACATCACTCACCCCCGAGGATTCCCCTTTCCCCCTGCAGGCCATTCCACCGCTGTAGACATCACCTCCCCCCCCCCCCCCCCCCCCGGGGATTCCCCCCTTTCCCCCTGCAGGCCATTCCACTGCTGTAGACATCACTCCCCCTCAGGGATTCCCCTTTCCCCCTGCAGGCCATTCCACCGCTGTAGACATCACTCCCCCCCGGGGATTCCCCTTTCCCCCTGCAGGCCATTCCACCGCTGTAGACATCACTCCCCCCCCAACCCCGGGGATTCCCCTTTCCTGCTGCAGGCCATTCCACCGCTGTAGACATCAGTAATAAATAGTTACAAATTTTATAAGGTTAACAGAAGACACAGGTCCATCCAGTTCATACTGTGGGATTTTTATTCTGTAACAATGCCCAAGCACACTTTTCCACATATAACCCTGGACCATTTTAGCATGCCAAAACTCCTGAATGCAGCACACTCTGGGTGTACCTTGCATGGAGCGCAGGGATCAACTTCCTCCTAAGACATCTTATATTCAGGCTTAAGGCTGAACTCCAGCCTTCTCTTCAGTCTTGCACAGACATACAAGCTCCTCTCCTCTACTGAAAGCTTTACTCTGAGGCCACTGTACAACATTCTCACAATATGAGTTCAAAGCTACAGCAAGTCTGATAACCCCACCTCATTTGCTGGCTGGAGGGCATCAAGCATCATCTAGCGCTTTCCTCCCCAGCCTGACTGTCCTGGGCCCATTCTCTCAATCATTGGGTAGCAGTTTTTTAGCACTCATTCAAATTTGCTTTTCTCTTTAAAGAGCAATCTGTGTTTTGATCGTTCTTTAGAGAGCATTTGCCAGGCAGTGAGGAGGTGCTGTATCATCTTATCACTACCTGCTTTAACCCCTTGAAGCCCACAGTTGTGGGGTGCTTCCAAAGCAACCCTATTGACTTGACAGTGTCATGTTCAGTGGGTGGGCACTTTGTCTGCAGAAAGAGACAGGGGGTATAATGCATGCCATGGCTGCAAAGCATGTTCACACTCCCACACTGCTCCTGCATCTAAATGGTGTAGCAGTGTGAAAGAGCTATTAGTCATATAGGCTAAGAAAAATGTGGGTGTTGTCTAAGGTGGTCTGTATACAAATGTAGTCAGTCAAGGAACACCCCACTCCTCCAGACTGGTTCCACCCATCAATGTATTTTGACATTTGCATAACCTTCCAAGACTGGGCCAACTGTTTGCATCAGGGCAGAGGACTCTTTCAGGAAGCTATGAAAAGCATTCTGCCAGCATCTCCCACCTGCATTGCATAGGGATGCACAGAGACCCAGTGATGACAACACTGGGGCTTAAATAATGTATGTGATGAAAATGGAAAGGTATCATTTAAAAATATAATTTTGCTGTTGAGGGGGGGAAAGCAAAATATAAATGGACCTGGGATTATTTAAATGTGTCCAATGGTACCACTATCCCACATACAGTTAGGTCCATATATATTTGGACACAGGCACAATTTTCATACTTTTGGCTCTGTATGCCACCAGAAATAAATTAAAACGAAACAATCCAAATTAATTTGAAGTGCCGACTGTAGCAATCGTGCACACAGAGATGGATGCGAACCTCTATTTTGGCAAAGGCCTCCATCTTGTATCATTTTCTACTCCCAAATCAGCTTCCCTCCATATCCCCCCCTGGGGAGAGTTGTCCCTCTCTGTTGAGTGACCTGTGGTCTGTATGATGCAGAGATCACAGGCAATCAGGCTCAGCGGGAGAGCTCCAGGGCTATAAATCCCAACCTAGCTGGTGCCCAGATGTCTGTTAGCTTCCAATCTGGGATATTGTAAAGCCATAAAACCAGTCCTTCACTAAGCTTCAAAGACATTCCAGGTAGTCGTAAAACAGACTCACATTTAAAAATCCCCTTTCCCATACAATTTTATATCTGGAGATATGGAAGACTTACATAGAAACCAGGCATATATTCAAATTGGTCACTTTAATACAAGTTGTCTGATATATTACACCCCCTTGCTGGAATCTACAGGAGAGCAGAAAACGATATCTCCTTAACCGTCCCAGCAGGTATGACAAATTTCATATCTAGACATTCGGCAGGTGATTCTGCATATTAATCTACTCGTGGATAGAATGTTACATGTATCCAGGGAAAGTTATTGCCCTGGTATCAACTTCTGAGGGATTTTGGTTCTAGCTTGGGTCTCCGCCTGCAACACCCTCCCCAAATGAGGAGATTGGTTCTCTGCTTCAAGGAGACACCCTACTGAGTTCCTAGAAAAGCTGTTATGCTTGGAGCAGAGAGTTGAGTTGAGCTAAGTTGAAGATTCTCCCTTGTAACATCGGAACCAACTTTGGGAGACGGCCCTTTTTTTTTTCCCTTCTTTCTCTCTTCTTCCTTTAATTTAAATATTTATTTGTTTTCAAATATAGCAATATAAATACTTCCAACACAAGAAGTAATAAAATACAACATAACAAATTTCTTCTAAAAACACTTATTGCATATAATTTTCTCCCCTTAACCCCCTTCCCTCAACCCCCCCTCCCTCCCACCCCTCTTCAATAAACCCCTGACATCTGTCCGATTCCCATCTTTATTCTTATTCACGGAGTAACTTCTTTCTTCTTTGCTCTAAATTCCTCCCGTTTCTTCCATTTTGTATAATAAACCTCCATCTTATCTTCCTGTATATAGTATAGTTTCTCCATTCTAACAATCTGATCCACTCTGTCTATCCAGTCATCTACCTTCGGTGCCTCAACTTTACGCCAAAACCTAGGTATCAATCCTTTGGCTGCATTTAAGTAGCACTCTACACCCATATCTTTAAATTTATTCATTGATATTTCTGTGATATGAAAAAGGCATATTTCCGGGTCCAAACCAATCTCAATTCCAGTGATATTTCTAATTTGATTTATAACCTTTCTCCAGTAAACTTGTATTTTTGGGCACCCCCACCATATGTGATACGTTGTGCCCCCCGGGAGACGGCCCTTTTGATCTGAAACTTGAACGGTGCTTAAACCAAGGCTTTTGGCAAGTACTTTACCTCTCTCTAAATTTCTTCTGTTATCTCTTTGCTGTGTTATTGGTCTCTGTGTGTGTGTGTGTGTGTGTGTATTATATATATATATATATATATATATATATTTATTGGCTACATCTTTTTCTGTAAATATTTTTATTGCACCCTTTTGACCTTTTAGTAATATATCTTACTTTCTGAAAGTGTTGAATTTTTTTCTAAAGCTCTTTAATGCAAATTAAAACCCCTGTCTCTGAAGAGCACTACTGTGTGTGTTTAAACCTCTATATACCGTGCCTGCGGTGACAGTGGTATACAGACGATTATTCAAACATCATAGTGTTATTGCTGATATTGCCAAGTTTCTTCTTTCTCTGTACAAAAAGGAGGTGGTGGCAGTGTGAAGAGTTATTTGAGCAATTAACCTGACCCAGTAACAATCGCTCCCAGGCTGCAGGTTAATAGACTGTGGTCCATTAGCTGGAAAATCTTTGTGCAGGGTGCAGCTGGGCGTGGCACTGTTACACACGTGACAGCACGATTGTAGATTGGCTAGTTTCTTCGGGCACGAGTTTGGTGAGAAGGGCTGGGGTCTGACACCGCGATCGTCACACTGACTTTCAGCTTTAATTCAAGTGGTTGAACATAAATATCAAGTACAAATTTTAGGAACTGCAACCATTTTTATACATAGTCCCTCCATTTTCAGGGTCTCAAATGTAATTGGGCAAATGAACATAATCATAAATAAAATGTTCATTTTTAATATTTTGTTGAGAATCATTTACTGGGAATGACTGCCTGAAGTCTGGAACCTATGGACATTACCAAAGACTGGGTTTCCTCCTTTCTGGTGCTTTGCCAGGCTCTAACTGCAGTGGTCTTCAGTTGTTTGTGGGTCTGCCTTAAGTCTTCACACAAAGTAAAAGTTTTTACAGCGGCTGTTTTTGGCTTTTGACGTTTTTTTTCTACAGCCAGTAAACTCCCCAGTATGTTATCCTATGTGTCGATGCACACAGACTGTAATCAATGTTTTTTGCCAGGGACATTTTTTTTTGGTTGG